TCTCAAAACAGTTCTGAAGGATGCTTTTTGTTTATGTTTGCTGACAGACACCAGTGTTTCCCACAGACTGCAAATTCATTCTCTGCCAGCAGGAGGCGCTTTGGGAGCTGGAGATATAGCAGTTTCCCCGGTAACGGCTGTAATCAAATAAGCGCAGCTCACAAACGCTATCAGGCATTACAGGAAAGAAGAAATGAAAATGACATTGAAGCTTTTCTGAAGACAGTCAGTTCTTTTCAAAGATACATTCATATAAAAACACCCGCACTGCATTTTAATTTTGAAATGTGAAACACTCATTTTATTCAACGAAGTATAAGCCTTTTGGAAAATCTATTTGTGGCGGTCAGTTTTGATATTGTGATGAGCCAAAGTCGCGCAGGTAAAGTCGCAGGTCTTTACACTCGTTGGTCTTCACACAAGGAGGCCTGAACGCTTCCGCTGATGCTTCCGCGTCAGCGCACAGACATCAGATAAACACACAGTCTAAAACACTAAAGTGAAAACAGCTGTGGCCACCTTCTAATTAGCACAGCCAATAACCTATAGCAGGGCAATTGCTCAAATCATTTATTCAATGAAGTATAAGCCTTTTGGGAAATCTATTTGTGGCGATAAGTTTTGATATTGTGACGAGCCGCCACAAATAACTCAATGTATAGGAAACACTGGACACTGCTATAAGTCAAATGGCCATAGTGATAACAAAAATAAAAGATTTCACACATATTGCACTGCCTGCTGCTCATAACTGCTTAAGAGTGCGCTGGCCACGAGCTAATATATAACATCGTGGAGGCTATTGTCGGACCCACAGACACATTTCATGAGGAAAGTTAATGTGTACGTTATAATCAGCCCAGAAGTTTCATCTGATTTGAACGTGTTTCTACTTTCAAATGCAAATGACTTGTTGCACTTATGAATATGATAACTTTCCGGCATCAATTCTAGTAGGGTAAAACGTAATCCCGCTTTCGAAACGGTCTGTTTTGCCCTGCCATTAGCTGAGGTTGTGTGTGAACAAGCCGCGGCTGCTGCAGCCTGTTAAACGGTCGACCTCTACATACAACATTCAAAATCAGATCCGTTATCATGCTAAAAACCTGTCACTCGACTCATGAATCATCACGTCTGCTCTGCTGATCCCTTGTGATTGGCTATAAGTGCGGCCGCGACGTCAACATCAGCACCAGTCATCTTTGCAATGTACGTGTGTTTACTATAGTACCGTCCGTGATGACTGATTGGATGCAGTACATGCACACTTGGGCTTGTTTGTTAACCAATTAGCCTATGCAATTTATGTTTGAAAATCGCCAAGCTGACCACAAACCAGCCCAAATTTTGTCCACCCACCCAAGCCAATTTTTACCCGCACAATCAAATTCAAAACCCCCCAATCTGGCAACACTGGACACATCTCTCAGTGTGCAATGGTCTTATAGACTTGAAATTACAGGAGGTCTGTAGTAACAAACACATCAACTGGTTAAGACATCAAGTATGATAATACATTATTTTTTCTTTTTATAACCTGAGCTCAAATATGGAAGTGTGCTTAATGGGTACATTTACCCTATTTACAGACATGGTCTAAACCTATAAAACGTTCTACTAGGATAAATAAAAAAGCATCAGTTCTCCTGCTCCAACAGTGATCCACACAGAGCCACGAGTTCCTGCTGTAGTCATTGACAGCAGTACGATTCCAGCTCGGGCCCACTCACCATCTACGCCTGAACCACTGCCAGGGTCACTCTGCATTCCATGCAGCCAAATGCTAACATGTGCATTAAATCAGTGCTTAGCATCACATGCCAGAATGTGATCCAACAGTGAAGCAATGCCTCTACACACACATACTCCCAATCCTGTAAGCCAAGGCCGGTCACTAATGGTCTGCTTTCTCATTCATCCCCATATAACGTCTAAGCTAATAGGTCTCCTATATCCAGATGTCCCAGAGAGGGTGGAGGTGGAGCAAGATAATAGAGCACAAGAACTTCAACCCTGCCTCTGTCCGCTAGACCATTTCCTGCTCGTCTTCCACAGAGCAGACAAACTCCCAGGTCATTTATATATCATAAAACCTACGTTACTCTCATACCACGCCAAGGAAATCTTGTCTCATTATTTTAGAAGTATACTGAGTGAGATGACGTTTGTTCGAATATAGAATATTTGTTTATGACCGTTATCTTTACTTTCCAGTATAATAAAAAATACCCACATCCCCCAGGCTCCGAATCCTGTCTAGACAAGATAAAAGATCATCTGAGGTCTACTGAGGTTCTTTTTTTGTGGTCTCAACTAAACCTATTATCAGAGCTCGACAGAAAAGACTCCTCTGCGACAGTCAAAATCATCTGACAGGCCGTCTGAGGTGGCGTCACATGGTCAATGACTCAATCACATGACTTCAGACACAACTACTCATATTTAGTTATTGCATCAACAGTCATATAAATTACTTCCAAGTTTCCTGAAAGAACTGATGATTACTGAAAATTTTAAATTTAAAGGGACAGTAAACCTTAAACATGACTTGAACATTTTGTTGAAGCCAATGGGGTCCAAAAAAACACCGAACTCCACTGACTTTCATTGTATGGATATTATATGGATAAACCATAGAAGAAAGGTTCGGAATGACATGAGGGTGAATAAATGATAACAAAAATTACATTTTTGGCTAAACTATACTTTTTAGACAAAACAGCAGGCTATTCTTTACAGTTAACGTGTAATGCACTGCCTAGTGAATGACTAAAAGTTAATCACAGTCTTCTGAACTTCTCTTCATCAGGCCTACATTATGCACTTATTTCTTGGGCATGAGCATTACATTTGGATCGGCATAATTTAAAATGTGGGCTATTTGTAGGCCAGTTTTCTGAGCCATACTAAAAAGGACTGTTGCATAATTCATACAGATGTCACAGAAAACTATCTGGAGTATTTATTCAAAAGGCATCCGGTGTGCTTTGTAGGCACCATTTTCCTAATTTCTTTGGATAGTTATTGTTAACATCACAAATTTGAAAACAAATGCTATAAAAGGAATAACTAGGTCAAGCTCTTTGTGTCCAATCAAGTTTTATAGTACAAAACATTTTAAATTTCCATCTGCCAACAAAGACTTGTTTTGTGGTATGCTCTAATCATCAAAAAACATGAAAATTCTATAAACATACAATAAAAATAGAAATATTAGGCTATAAAATAAAAATCAGACTACATTAAATTGTAGCATAAACACATTTTTACCATTCATAATTTTCTAATAAAAAATAACATGTCAAGCATATGACATTAAGAATATTTTTGTTTAGTTTTGTGCCACTTGATTTACAATGTAAAAATCTGACGCTTGAAGTCAAACTAAACGATAAGCATCTAGTGTGCACACTCTGATTCAAATCGCTTCTACTACCCAAACTAACTGAGCAAACTTGGGCCAAGTACTGATCAACTGGCTTTAGATACCTGATTTTGGAGCAAATTAGGGATGCACGATATATCGGCCACCATATCGGTATCGGTAAATAAAGAATTATCGGTTATCGGTATCGGACAAAATTTTCATATCGGTGCATCCCTAGAGCAAATAAGAGCAATTACACTCAATATCTGCCTTAGATAATAATGTTTACGTCACGCAAAACAAACGCTAAAGAATCGACAGGACTCTTTTGTGGGCGACCAAGAAGAAGCACTAGCAGAGGATGTGCCTATCCATGCACTTGAATAGACCGCTAAGAATGCGGGAATATGGAGCATGTCCACTGCATGCAAATAGACCTGTGGCGAGCTCGGCTTGCACTCATACGGTAACAATTCATGCAAGCAGAGGAATACCATATGATAGGCGTTTGAATTTGTAAACGACTCCGGCGATTGCACGGGCCTATGAAGCTATTACGAAATAACTCAACTCCCACATCTCCAAGCTGTCCCCATACGACACGTTAAACGCGTTAAAAACCGTCTGATTTGTGGCTTCTGTGCACAAATGCTGATAACGCGAATGTTTCATAATGAATTAGCGCGAGTCTGGATGTGGATAACAAGGACAGATGTAGCAATCACAGCACAGGTGATAGCAAAATTGCGCAAATGCCCTCCTAGGCATATTTACTTATTCAAAATCAATCCTGCAAGCCTGAAATGATCACACTGCTGCCCACATAGTGGGTGTCGAAAGCAGCAGCCCACACGTTGCCTGGTCACTATCACCAGGCCATGTCTGAAAACTTTACAGACTGTCTCCTAAATGCATGCATGGACAAAATAACACGTTTAATCGTGGTTACTCACCTTCAGTAGCTCTGGTGGGATCTACAATCTCTATTGCACAAACTAATCCCAGGTAAAGCAATCCAACAGCCAGCATGTTTGCATTGCAAGATGACATTGCCTATGGAAATATCACAATTGTTCACGTAAGGCTGGATTCAAACACCTCATCCAAACCTCACGATTGTCCGCCGTGGTCTGTTGTTTCTTGCGCCCTCCGACACGCTAGCAAACGTAGCTGAGCAGACAATATGCACAGCAGAGAATGTGTCATTAAAATCGATGCATAAAAAGGCTTTTCCAGCCTAAAAAGACGAGGTGTTGTACAATGGCACGGTCATGTAACGTTATGTTGCTTACTGAATAACAGCATGCAAACAGAGGTATGTGGTGTCTTTTTTTTTTTTTTTAAGAATCCTTAAAATCAAAGCGGTCTTCTCTGTGATAAAAAAAATTATTCCTTTTGCAAAATCAGGATCATACAAATGCAAGATCGTCCGTTGGCGTGCCTCGCTGCAAAAATAAAAATAAAAAAGGCTCCTCTCTTCTGTGCCCCACCGCTTCTGATGCTGGTGGTTACAATTTGAGTGAGGGGGAAAAAAGTGGAGCCTCTACTGGACTGCTGCATGACGTCATCCACCTCGACAGGAGTCCAAAAAAACTGAAAGCCCGACGCGGCACTGGGCTCCTGCGCATGCGCGGCTCAGCTTACGGCTGACCATTTGTTTTCCCCCTCAGTCGGTGGAAACTGATCCGGCCACGCAGCCATCTTGGCTCTAAAATGATGACTCAAAGTAGGCCTAATTAATTAGTATTAGTTGACTAGCTTTATGAGGAATTGCTTTTGGCTAGATAGCTGTTGCTACTAAATAATGAAGTTTTAAAATTCAGGTCTTGTGCAGGCTTATTACTTTATATTGTACATTTTTCTTCTAATATGATAACATTACGAATGAATAATAACAAAAAACTACTTAAATAATAATAATGCAAAATATGTCATGTTTATATGTAACTATTATTATTATTATTGGTCATAGACAGTTCTGACGGAAGTTTAGGTGGCTAGGATTCCCCTGTTGCTGTTTTGCTTTATTTACATTTTAAATTTTAAAATTATTAAAGCACACTAAACTGAAATGTAATAAATTGAAATGTATTTATTAATACAAAGAGTAGCTGTGTAATAATTAGGGTTAGCTATTGGTTCCCCCTCTGTTTCTTCCTTTGTTCATGTTTAGGTATGAGTTCTTTTGTCTCTTATCTTAAAGTGATATATGGGTCCATCTAGTGGGCAATAAAGGTTATTGCATGAGCGGAGTTGGTTCTCATTTTCTTGGTCGTTATATCATAGATAAAGTAAAAACTTCATGGGTGAAAAAATTTTCATTCTAAGAAAATTAGCATTTGTAAAATCAGTAGCACTAATAAGTGGGGCGTTTCTTTTTGTGGGCCTTTTTGTGCCTTCTTGCTGTCTTAAATCCACATGTCTTTTATCCTGGAGGAAGTTTATTGGAGGTCACAGTCCAAGGAACAGATAAACACATCTCTAGACAGTGTGGAATTATCTGAAGCTTGGAAAATCCACCTCACTAACAGCAGGATTTTATTTTATATATATTGTATTCTTTTATGCATTTGCACTTGGAGCACCAACCATGAAGAGAGTGATTCAAAAGAGATCATTTCTTCATGGTAGACGCCTGTGATGGAACATCTAACCAGTGGAAAATGCAACATCTGCTAAGCCTATGGTTTTGATAACCAGGTGTATTACCTGATATGGACAGAGAGGAAACAGAGAGACCGACTGCAAGCTCGTGGATGAGTCCATGCAGGGATTGAGCCTAACTGAGATATTTTATAATGCCACAACACAATCACATTTAGTCTTATTGAAGGCTCATTTAATTATTTATTTTTTAATGTTATTATCTAAATTAATTATTCCTTTACAGTTTCAGAAATTGTCTGGGCTCTACAAAATTTCAACATTACTAAAGCATTCAGGCACTTATAGATAGGTAATAAATAAATTACTTAATTAGCCTAATTAAAATTACTTAATTCAAAGTAAATAAATATTTTTTTCAAAACAATGCAATCATTTAAGACAATTAATTAAATATAGATCATTTAAAAATAATTATTAAATAATTGTAATGTAATAATAATTATAATAAAATTTAAATATATATTTTTGAAAGCATTTTTTATCATTTTAAAATTTTGCTTTTAAAAAAATTACTTTTCCCATGCTCCTCACTACAAATGTTGTTATTGTTAACCAAAACTGAATCTATTACAAATAGTTTTCATTAATTAAAATGAAGCTGAAAAAGAAAAAAATAAATATCAAAAAAACTCTTTACAAACTCATTAATGGAAATTAAAAGTATTATATTAGTAACTAACTGGAATAGAAGTTAAAGTAGGTCTACAAAATAAAATGGAAATACATATAAATCAATCAAAATATGACCAATACACACAACAAAATGTTAAAACTTAATTTAAATTTAGGTTAAAAACTGAAATTATAAAATTCCAAATAATAATAAATACTATAAAATAATATATAATATAAATTTACAAATACTACTACAATAAGACTGCTCCCAACAGCCCAAAACAAGTTAATACATGAAATACCTAATTTAGTCCATCAAAGAATGGGTGTCCTCTGGGTGGCACTAGACACCTGTCTATTTGCACTTTTTTTTCTCCAGCCAGTGCACATTTTCTCATTTCAGGGTTTTTGTCCTCCACCCTCTCTAATAAATCCCACCGTTATATAGTGACCAAGAAACCACACAGTTCTTGGAGATTTTACAGCTCCCACCCAAGCGTAATATACGTGCAGTGATTCATGGAATACCGCCTAGACTTCTCTTTAAAGAAGGACTGTTGAAATGATCTAATAGATCAAACGATGTCACGTAACACATATGAGTCAGTGTTTAATGAACGTACGTAATCACTGCTAAATTCGCCATG